TTCCCGTATTTAATTTGTTTTCTTCCTCATGCATAATGATCCAAAAGCAATCTGTATTATCCTATTTCTTTGAGAATTTATTTGATTCTTCTATAATGGTTTGGTTCAAGCTTCGTGTTTATATTTCAGGAACAATTACTATCCTGTGAATCTTTTAATATTAAATTGGTTAAATGAATAAATATCTAAAATATCCCAAGTATTTTTCTTTCCCAGTGGCATTCTTTGTAAACACATGCCTTGTGCTGTAATGGTATATTCCAGATCTCCAGAATTTTCCAGGTTGAGTTAAGGCCATTAGCAGTTGTGTCTCCCCTACTCTTGGTCTGCATCTGCTTCCATTTGTCTCCATACTTAAGCCTGGGGACACCTTTGGAAAAGTGGAAACTTTTCTTCATTACATTAGACAAAGCAAATGGGTCTTTATCATAAAAGATTTTGCTTGTCTGCACATTCTTAATGTAATTGATGCTAACCACTCACCTTTCATAGTTCTTCTGCACCTTCTGGTTTTCACTGTAGTTTTCCTACTATGATTTTAAATCCCACGAACATAAATCTGTGTTCTAAATGACCTAAAGGTAGAATTGGGTCTTCTTGCTCCACCTTTGTGAGCAACACTTCTCCCACCTCTGGATTTGTTGGGCTACTGAGACAGGAGAGACCTGTATTGACATAAGCATCAACCTTTAAAATCCTAAAAAACAGTAGTAGCAGCTGAAATTAGTTCAGTTCAGACATAGTTAGAGCACTAGTTTAGCATTAGAAACGTATTAAACATACAGGAAGAAGTCCATTAGCTTCTCTTACCACTTTAGAGGACCATATTTACTTGAAAAGAAGCTTATCCTCAATTTAAAATGACCATCCCCCCCAAAAAATATTCAACAGAAGAAAGACACTAAACCAGTGTTTTTCGAACTTGGCGACTTTAAGATGTGTGGACTTCAACTCCCAAAATTCCCCTGCTAGTATGTGCTACCAGTTCAATCTTACAGAGTTGGCATGCTCTGGGTTCCATCGATTAAACAATGCCACCTGCCTGGACCCCAGAAGCATGCCTTCTCTGCAGCAGCACCTGCCCTCTGGAATGAGATTCCCCCCAAAATTTGAATGGCTCCCACCCTACTGATATTTCAAAGAACCCTAAAGATGTGGCTTTTTGACCAGGCCTTTGGCCCCTTTCTTCCTTTTTGTTCCCCTCTGGTTTTGTTTTCTTTGCCATTGCTGTTCTTCTGTCTTGTGGTGTTTTTTGTCTTTTTTTTTTTTTTGTTCTTAAATGTTTTTACAATTGTAAACCGCCTAGAGTTGCTGGCAATCGGGCAGCATATAAATTTAATAAATTATTATTATAGTTGTCAAGTTTGAAAAACACTGTACTAAACAGACAAAAATATTGTATATATCTCAGCTTCCCTACCATATCAACCAGGATTGCCAACTCACACTAAATCTGCCCTGGAGAGTCTTTCCACGCCTTCCCTACCAATAAATGTGTGCATATGATATATTTGTTTGCTTATGTGTATATCCACACTGGCAGAGACTACACTCCAACAAAAAGGACAAGGCCAGAGCAAAATAATAATAATAATAATAATAATAATAATAATAATAATAATAATTCCTGATTAACATAATTGTCTTTAAAATAATATCTGCTGAAGAGTAGTTTTTTTTTTTTTTAGTTGAATACAGCAAAGCTTAATTATATATTTTGCAATTATTGAGCATTTTTCAAAGTCCCCTTCCCATAGGCAGAGAAAGCTGGAAAAGATTGCAGTTGCACACAGTGAAGGAGAAGCTGTTGTTGAGCCTTGGCAATTGAGTATAAATTGGCATCCATTTAAAAGGGAGGGAAGCAGAAATTAACAACTAAGTGGCCAGCCACTTTGCCAAATAGCAAAGCCAGACAGTACTCAAGTGGTGAGAATAAGATGATAGGTTTGGAGATTCACAGAATCAGTTTAGCCTTTTTATTTTTTTTTATCAAGACCCTATTAGAAAGTTTTCTTCAAATAAATGTCAGCACAGAATTTTAACTTTAAAGTTAAAATTAACTTTATGGAACAGAATTGGGAATTGTTGCCCTCCACTTAACATTAAGCTTTTTGATGGAAAGAAAATTAGCATAGCAGAGGAATAATTCTGGCAGCCTATTTAAATGTAAGTGGGGAAAATAAAGGAAAACAGTAGCACGTTTGAAAGTAGAAGCAGCCTGTTTCTTAGCAATAAGGTAGTCATAATTAAATAATGCTAGCACTTTACTTCCTTCTCTAAATCATAGGTGGTTTCCTTCAGATATATCACAAAACTTAGGGTTTAGAGCAGGCAATAGGATTGTGCATGCCTCCTTCTCTGCCTTCCATTAAATTTCCTCCTAATCCATTTTGAGGTGTTACAGATGACATATGACATGATTTAATAAAGTGCTCAAAGTAAAATGAGAGATATACTTGATTTTTGTCTTGCTGTGGGCTAATGTAACTCCAATTTGGGAAAGAGAAGGGATTGCACATTTTCTCCAAACTGATCTTAAATCATATCCCTTGTCTTCATTGTACCTTGACATTGTTTTGAGTATAAACCACTTGTCAGATAATTGTGCACCTGCAAGTATCAAGAGAAAATGGCTCTCAATATCTACTCTGCCCACTGAAGAGTTTTTACAGCATGATACAAGCAGTGAAATCTCTCTCTCCCATTTTTACACACTGATCACCTTAAAACTCAACTTTCTAATAAAATCTTTGGTTAAACCCTTTGTCCTTTTCCTCAGTGATCCAGTAGTAGTTACTTGCTTTGTTCAAACAAAGATGACCATTATGGAGGTTGCTTGTATTGTTTGTGACTTTGTAATGAACTGTCTAGCATTGTCTTGTAGAAGGGTAGCTTCTGACTGATTAGTGAAAGTATATTATCAGATGCTATTAGCATTTCCAAAAAGGTATCAGTTCAGTTTTTTTCATTCTTCGTTAATATTTTCACTTTGTTCATTGTGAGAGTTAGATTTGGATTAGGTGGTATATCCCACCAACCATAAATTGCCCCATTACCATCCCTTTCCTGTTTCTCAGGAATCAGATATGGGAAAAGGTGTTAGCAGTCTGTTGTGTCCTCTCCTTCCCATGTCTTACTGCAGCCATCAATAGAGATACCAAATAGTCTTATCGTTAGCACCATCGTTGAAAGTGAGGTGTGGTATAACCTGAGGCCTCTTTCATGATCTCTGGAGCCTATCCTCTTTCCAGATGAGGTTCTATCCACTAGTCTCAGTAGTAATAGATTTAACTCTTTGAGGCTATCTTCTTTGATAAGTGTTGCCCAAGTTTATGACCACTAGGCAGAAATCTGTTCTTCATTATGCATAATTCTAATCACCTGCACAACCCCTTTATAGATGGAATGGGCCTTAGTCCTGTAATCATATTAAGTCATTTTGGCAACCTAAACTTTTTTTTTTCCAGCCATTTAGGGTACAGGACATTTTGGTTGCTATGTCCTATGATTTTTTTTTTTTTTTGGTGGCAGCCATCAGACCACAGAAGTGTTGATATGCTGAGGAGCAACATGACATTGTCTTTTTTTTTTTCTCAAACATCATAAGCAGACTAGGCAAACTATCATTTGTCTTACTCAGTGCACTCATATACTTAGAATTTAATGTGCTGGAATTGCATTTGTGGAAGAGGAAGGTTGTATATAGCACTTACAGTATTTTAATCACCTATTATGTTGTTTTTTTTTAATCTGGAGTTGAAACTTGAAGGTTTTTTGTGCTATTAAAACAGCTTGACTTTCTGCAAAAGTGCTTTTAAATGAAGTATATAGCTTGCTTATATTGGAACATGGCCATCTTGTTTTTAATATGATCTGCAATTTGCAAATCACTCAAGCTTGCTGTTCTTGTTCTCAAAGCAGCTGCATCAGTTTGAAGCCAGTTTTACCACTCTGACTAATCTAAAGGTAAACAGTTGATTGTGGGATTCAACTTAATGAGCCATTCTAGTAGTATGACAGCTCAAAAGTTGAGTTGAAAGGTTTCATTCCTGATGCCAAGGGCACATGAGTAACTATACTTGCTATCTAGTAAATATGTATGAGTCTCAGGTGTTATACATGATCATATGAAATTGTGGTTTGTACTAATTTATAATATCAAGCAAGGGAGCTTGCATACTTTCTTATCAGAGTAATAGCTATGGATTATGGATAATGGATATCATGGAAAGTTGCTTGGATAATATTCAGAGCATTAGATCAAAACTTTTCATTAGTAGAAGGAACCATGATCAAGTAGAGGCTTCCATCTGAATAAGGAGGAGGGGGAAGAGAAGTGTTAATATTCACCAGTTCTCCTTTCCATTGACTTATTCTACACAAACTCTCATGCTGTGTGTGTTCCCACCCACCCATTCTGTTAAAACAGTGTTTTATAACTGGTTAATAGTACCAAAAACTTAAAATTTCAAATGCTATTAGACCATGAACATTTTGAGAATTTTTCAATATATCATATAAGCTGAAATTTTACAACTTAGCAATATTTTCTCAGATTCACCTGCATTCCCATCTGTACTTACGTATTCTGTAGTAACAGGAAAGATGTTCACTGAAGAGCATATAGTACTGTGAATATGATTTGAGCATATTTGTTTTTAGTGTACATTTAAATATACATTGGTATGTGTTATAGCCACTCCCTTTCAAATCTGACTCTACCATCTTTGCTTCTTACAGGGGAACAAAGTAGGGCATATTTATCTATTTACCAACTTTTATCTGGTTGTCTAAGATAGGCTATATTTATCTCAATACTTTCAGCATATAGGATCGATTCTTACCCAGCAGAGGAGGAAAGACAGTGATAATGAAAGGGGAGTAGGGAAATTGAGTGGCTTAACAATAGATTATCATTCCATTTCTGATTCAAAAATACAACTCTATATTCATTTTTTAAAAATAATATTAGCTGTGTGCTTGCTTTTTTCCCCCCCTAGGTTGATGATTCCAGCTGTGACTCTGAATTTCTTTCTTTGCTCCTGGATGAGAAATTAGTAGTGAAATGCATTCCCACAGTTTATTATTCTCACCTAGTTAACTATCTGATCACCAATCAAGAGGAAGGACAATGGGATATAATAGAAATAGCAAAACAGCTGCAAAAAGAAGGCTTTGTTGCAGAAGCAGGATCACTCCTGATGGCCTTTAAAGGAACGCATCCTGCACTCCAGACCTATGGTGCAGCTCTGACCTCTCTTAGGCACTGGATTTAAGTGGGAAGGCACTTCAAGTTGCAATTGATGCCTCAAATATGAGTTGCTCGGCTGGAAATCTTGCTGAAGAAAAGTAATATGGAAAAATACACTTCAAGTTCATCTTTGCTCAGTACTACATGAAATTGTAATGTGCATTTTTAACCTTTTCTTGAATTGGTTCCCATGTGCATTCAATGTGACCCCTGAACAATATTCTAGTAAATATATATTTTCCAGTTTTCTCATAATAAATAATTATCATATAACACACAGTCATTGTATAAAAATATAATTAAAAATTAAGTTGCGTAGAACTAATAATCTCACATTAAATGGAAATTCCTGAGGAAGATACTTAATATGTCATTGCTGTTTGGAAATTTATTAATTTAATTTCTGTTTTAATTAAAGGCTTTCTTTTCAACCAACTTGAGTTTATTTTTAGTGTGGTTCCTTTTTCTGAAAGTAAAATAATAATAATAATTATTATTATTATTATTATTATTTATTATTTATTATTATTTATTATTGTATGCCACCTGTTTCAAATCAGCAGCCTTCTGTGCTAGGCAAAGGCCATAGCCACTATGCTATTTCAGTTAAAATAGAAATGAATCAGGATACACTAAACCAGAAATATAATTATTTACTAGAGATATAAAATTTCAAGAAATCTTGAAGTGTCAGAATGGAGGGTGGGAGAGACCTTTTTCCCATCCCCAAAATAATACACATGTAGCAGTTTGTTTTGAACAGTCTCTACAGGTATACAGTCCTGTTATTACTTTATAAAGCAAGTTTAGTGTATAAAATTGAAAAGTATGGTCCATTCAGAAAATGCTTATACATTATTGATGAATTCACTTTAAATTACATTTTTAAATTTTTGTTTAAAATGAAACTAGAAGCTGTTAAACATGTCTTCATTTTTGCCTGTTTAGGAGAAGCAGGTAGACAAAATACAGGAAAGGAATCATCAGCATTGTCATAAAACAAAGGAAGTTATATATTATGGGTTTTGCTGTCCACTGTATCAGATAAAAGAAACACTGATTTTTATAGAAAGCTGAGGAAAAGGGGCGGGGGGGGGACCAAGTCTTAAAATACACATTTTATCATCTGAGATGTCATTCTTACTTTCTGACTTGAATGCTGTCCTTTATTTTTATCATTTTATAGACTTCTGAAAACAGAAGTTTTGCCTAAAATTTGTCCTTTTACACATTGATTTTATATTTTCCAACTAAAGAACAGTTTCTTTCATGTTTCAACCATGTCATGTGGCATTTAAAAAATATATATATGAGGATCTATTTCATAATGATTTTTTTTTAAGTTACAATTTTTTTCCCCAGGTCTTCACACCTATCATTTGCAAAGATATTCTATTATGTGGTAGCCATCTGAAAATGCAGCTAGTTTATCTTTGCTGCAGATTGGAAGCTGATCACCCTTTAACAGTCTTCAAAATACTTGTTTCATGGACTTTTTGTGCAGCATACAGAAAAAAAAATACAATTTATAGCCAAGGCAGGATTGTTCTGATGATTAAAGAGGTAAGCACATGAATTAGACTCTTTTAACTCCCTTCTGTAGTGTAGTTTACATTATGAAATACAGTGATTATTCTCCCAGCATGACCAAACCATAAGCAGAATTGTCGAACCTGTTTATTCTAGCCCTATCAAAGTATTTCAGAAATTAATGGCATAGGCCTATTTGAAAGAAATTTGTCACAGAAAATGATCATAGATAAATTTTATTAGTTTCCCAGTTATACATTGTATATCGTTTTGAAATTTTTACAGATGTAATACTGTTAATTCGATCACATGCCAAAGTTACAATATTTCAGTCATACAAAGCATTTACAATAGGAAAGATAGAAGTAAACATTCTAGATCACTGTAGTATAGAATATGGTAAATATATAATATGCATATCCAAGTATAATCTCACAACTCACTTGTAAAGATCAGTGAGGAGCTACTGTTAACTGACCATTAAGATGCATTCTGTTGGTATTCTGCTGAATTGGATATATAGGGCACTTCCCTTGAGATAAAACAAATAATTTTCTGAGAAGTTGTGAGCAACAAATTCAAATACTCAGTTGAAGTCATTGCAAGACTAATGCCCATTTTTTGCTTTTTCCTGGTTGTGCAATATAATTTCCATTGCAGCACTGTATTTATTGGACATGTACCTGTAACATCTTTAATCCAAATTCAACTCCGATGGTTCCTTTAGAGAAAGCCTGGATTTTATATTTTTATAATTGAGATGTCAAATACTGTAACTATGCTCCTTAATATTCCACATTTGTTGCATACTGAAGGTCTCACTCTTCTAGATAGAGGCTATTTTTGAATGACTGCAATCTTTTCCTATGCTGCAATTTAGGACTACAGATATCATAACTTCTCCCCCTTCCCTGCTCCAATCTGATTTTTGTAATATTTTGCCAGATTAAGGGATCTCAAAAGCATGCAGTTTTTAGGACCCTTTGAATTGGCATCACTTACCATGGATTTTGTGATATACACAGGACTCAGATTCAGAAATTATTGAAAGTGGCTTCTTAAATTAATATTTAGCGAAGCATAATGGTTTGGGGTATCAGGACCTAGATCTTTAGTTAAACTCTGAAGTTATAGTGCACTTCCTAAACTCATGACTACAAAAATGTTCAACAAAATGTTCATCACAAAGCATTCTGTACTATAATTGGGTTGTAAAAGTGTAAAATTGTATCTCTTTAATTCTGATGCTTTTTCACTAGCATGACTGTATTTGTACTTGCATTCCCTGTTACTCCTAAAGAATTGCTGGATTCCACATGAGTCTATGAAATTTTGAATTGCTCTGAACTTTAAACAAAGTATAGCAGACCTTTTTATCTTGTGTGTCAGGCTTCACTTCAGACTGGCTGTTATTCTCAGCTCTCTAGACATTTAACCCCTCATTTAGAAATAAAAAAGTGCTTAAAAAGTGACTTATGACCGGTGCCCGAAGTTACAACCGTCACAGCGCCCCTGCAGTCACATGATCACAATCCAGGTACTTGGCAACCAGCTCACACTTACGACTGGGGTCACATGATTGTCATTTGCAATCTTCCCAGCCGGCTTCCAGCAAGCAAAATCAGTGGGGAACCACATGATTCTCTTAACAACTGTGATTCACTTAACAACCGCTACAAAAAAGGTTGTAAAACCAGGGCTGGTAATGTGATGATTCGCTTAATGACCACATCGCTTAGCGACCTAAATTCCAGTCTCAACTGTGGTTTATTAGAACCATAAGAGAAATTAACTCATCCTGCAGGGGCCAAAATGTGCTCTCGGTGAATATTCTGAAAGCACTCCCTTGTGCTCTGCCAGGTAGATGAGGCTGTCCATCAAATCCCAGATGTTCCTCGAGAGGGAGAAGCTCAGACTCAGCAAAGGCCCACTCCAGCTGTTGTGATCTGCTGCTCAGAGCCAGGCTAACTTAGAACTGTGAAGAACTATCAAACACCTGTGGAAAATAACAAAAATGTATGAGAAACCCATGATAAATTTAGAACCCAGACCTATTATGATCTGAATTAACTCTTCAAACTCATGGCCCCAAAGTTACAGGAATGTTAAGTAATTAATAGCATTAGCAGATGTTAATATGCTTTGAGTAGACATTTCTAATCTTAATGGAACAGGAATGTGGTGGAAAACAGCTGTGGTACTATTTTTGGCTGATTGTTGGATACCACACTCTGCATTGCTACTCAGCTAGGTAGGTAGTTAGCCTTGGGAGTTTCTTGAAGAGCCTCATAAAATGTACTGTTAGAGAGCTTGAAGCAGGAGTTGCTTCCTTGTAGGTACTATTATGTATACACACACATTTCATGTGTGAGGTATATAGATACACCTTTCAGCAGAGAAGCTTAGACATTGCTGTGTAATATGTCTAAAGGGTCAGTTGTTCTCAACTTGTTCCCTTGGAACTACAGCTCCCAGAAATCCCTCAAGCTTGGCCAAGAGCTAGGCCTTTGGAGAATCGTAGTCCAAACCATCTGGTTACCTAGGCTAAGCTGATGTCCTGTAACCTAGCTAGAGAGATCATTGTAAGCCTGCAGATACAGATTGTAGTGTACAGTTCCTTGGTTTTTTTTAATAGAATTTAAAGATAAAGATTATACAAAATCATTGTAACTGCAACTAGAATAATGGTGTAGGTTGTAGAACAACTATGTCTGCTATTTCTTAGCAGTACTATTTGTGCCCTGTAGGGCTTCTCTTCTTGGCAAGACTTCTTTGCAGTCTCCTCTAGTACAATAAAACCAGTCTTTAATAGTCTTTGGGCCTCACACTTGCAATTGTTTCCATGGTGACAGTTTTGTAGCCCCCATCAGTTTTTTCTCAGTTCTTATTAGCAGATTTCTAGTTGGCTACAGTATAAAATTACAGTTAGCTAGGAAAGGCAACTTCCAGCATCTGAAAGAGTTCTTAAAATCACTTGCCATTTGCTAGAAGAGCACCACCACCAGATTTAACTTACGCAGATGCTATATTGCTCTTAACCCTTGGTTAACAACAGGTCTATTCTGCACACCCCAAAGGGCATTTAAAACAGGAAAGCACAAAAGGGCTGGCCGAGCTTTGAATCTGACTGGGAAGAGGTGCTTTGGAAGATTCAGAAGCACCAACAACACTCATGTATGAGTCACTGAAACAGGCATACCATTTTTCAGGACCAGACAGCAAACCTAGGCCATCCAAAATGGCAGTCAAATTGCAATCTTTTATGAAACAGAAGAGGAACATTATTAAATCCAGAGAGAGAAATAATGCTAAATGTACTTACTCTAATTTAAATTGTGCTTCAGTTAAACAGTGAAGCATGTTTATTTTTGTCCTGGCACTCTCCCCTTTTTGGAATGTGCCTCCTGGCCTGTATGTGAAAGGCCTTTGGCTCGAAAAAGTTTGGGCATCTCTGCTATAAATGTTGGTAAATTAGGAAAAGAGTGAACGGTAAAAATGAATTTTGTCTTAGCTTTGGAGAAGCTTCCTAGTTTCCCCTCAGTACAAGGAAGTACCTGTAGAGGCAGGTTGCCTCATGAAGACTCAGTCTGCTTCAGTTCACAGAAGCAGTGGTTTGTTTGGAGGCATTGCACATACGCAGAAGTTGTGGTTGCTAGAGAAGCAAAACCCTGTGACCACCTCGCAGATTGAAAGTGGAGCGCTTCATTTCATGGAGCTACTTGGAAGGGCCTCTGCTCAAAGCAATGCAACCCCTGGAAGATTTGTACGCTTCCACTGCTTCCTTGCCTCACTGTCAGTTAGGAACACTGCCACTGATTGATTGTGTTGTTACACAACAAAACAGAAAAATAACTTTGGAGTCTGAATCTAATTAGATTTATCCTGAAGTTGGCTGCCAC